CTCCCATAGCCGCTGCCGCATAGCGAGCCTGCTACCCCTCTTCTAGTCCATTGTAGTTGCGGAAAAGACGACTGTGCGCATGCTTTTTCTACTTCTCTGCAACGTCGATTTGTCTGCTTGCATCACGAGTTGCTTTTCTAGGTGTGCTTGGTATAGTAGTGAAGTAGAAGGGGTGGGGGGGCTCACTGGCATCAAACGCTTGCTGCCACCGATGTCTCCTTGGGGGCAACCATTGGTCACAGATGCTACATTGATCTTAACAATCGTGGGTAGTGATGAGCCCCAATGTAAGCACCCTTTGTTGGTTCCCGCTGTGTCTCCTTCTAGAACTGCTGCACTCCAGCTGTCGTGACCATCGATGTCAATGTAGCTTCTGTGACCATGGGTAACAGGCCTGATGAGCCAGCACTACTACCAGACACCTAAGGCAAGGGTTAGGGTGGCCTCCAAATTTTTCGCTTTACCAAACATTGCAGCAACATCGCAGTCCACTTATGTTCTTAAGCAATGAATGCGATAGCAACGAAATGGAAGGTCACGCGCAGAATGGCAAGCAGAATGAAACATGCCCCGCATTTCTCACACACAAATGACGCTGAAAGGTACTCACAGGTACAGATAAATGGGAATAAGTGTCTCAGTTACTTTGCTGGGTCGGAAAAACGCGCTCTTTTTGCAAACGGAGACTGTGCAACGATTGCAGTGACCTTTGTGTCCCCAGTAGCTACAATAAAATTGTTCCGGTGAAAGCCCAAGGCCAGCCAAAACATACGATCCTTCCTACCGCAAGATAAGGGTACGCGAGTGAGCGTCCACCCCCTCCACTCCACGCGTCGTGACGATGTGGCGACACCCACTCATTGCGCCATTTTGCTGGTAATGCTGAAAACACTATAGCTTCCCCCCTCCCCCAAGATGCCCATCACCAGCATTAAGTGGTAGATATGAATAGCTTGCCGTTTGAATGTTGAAGGACGTGCTCCTTCGTGGCTCAGTGGTTAACGCCTTGCATTCACTATTCGGAGATCCCACGTTTGATTTCGCCCGCCGCAGTCGTTTTCTGGATTATATTTTCTTGCATTTTCATATCTAACGTATACATACACAGTGAGTGACGGCCATGCCCACATCGACGCCGCCGGCAAAAATCAGCCGAGAGTGTCCATACAATTTCTATCACAATAAAAGAGTAGGCTAACAGATGCACGATCGGTGGGGCAGAGAAGGCCAAAACTGGCTGTCTTGCATAAGCACACAGCATGCGGTATGCAAATCTGTACAGCAGCTCGTGCATGTATTATTTTTTTTTCTGGGATTTTATGTTCATTTTCTTATCCACTTATACACCCAATTACACCAAGTCACCATAACGTGTTTTTGCAGCCGATGATGGTGCCTGAGAACATGTTTTTATTTCACGTCGGAACACATGAGCAACTCGTCATTGCATTGGGCATTTTTTATTATACCCAATATTTTGTTCTAAATGGTACTGTTACCAATGGGCTCCACTGTGTCTTTTGCATGACAATATTAATTTGTAAGAGCTAAGATTCACTTTTTTTGTATTTTTATATTCATGTCCTAGGACCCGAGGCCATCACCTAGGCTGATGTGTTTGTGGCCCCACCCCGCTAAATATTCATTTACCGCTGGTGGCACTCAAAGCTCGCATGCACTTCCACTCTATATCATTGCATCTCTCAGAATCATATGATGGTTTTGGGACGTTAAACCCCACGTATCAATTATCAACTCTATATCATCAGTGAAATGGCTTGAAGGGCTCGCTAAGAAAAGATGAGGGTCTTAAAAAAAGTCTTTTTATTTATAATGCTATCTCAAAGGGAGATGCGGGTCGAAAAATGCGAGTTTTTTTTTTTTTTTCAAAATTACTGATTCTTTATTTTTGCCTGTTTTGACAATATTAGTACCTCTACTGTTATGAAAAAAATATAACAGGTCGAGACTTAACTGAAAATGCTTTAAAATTGCATCTAAAAAGCACAAGGTGCCTGTTAAAAGGTCCAAAGTGTGCAGTCTTCAAGCACCTTGCCGCCGATAATGCGCCGTTGCTCGCCATTGTTGATCGCATGAGTTGAAGAGTCGAGCCTCACTCTTCAAATAACAACAGTTTCTCTCGCTGATGCAGCGCAAGAAATAATAAAAAGAAGCACTCTTTTGCGCGTTTTTCAAGCGCCATGACTGGCTTATCACATGGTACGAATTGGGGACCGCCATTCGTCGCTGCGCGCCTGCATGTGCTGTAAAACCTATTTGCGGGGTCCATGTCTTGTCGATCAGCGCAACTGAACAATGCTTTTCTCTTGTAATTATCTCTGTTATGAATGAAAAAAGGCATTGCTCGCAAGTGAAAGCCGTTGTACGGCGCGCTCTGTAGGAGTAGGCTACGAGCAGCTGGTCCGATTTGCGGCAGTTGTTGGCTTGTAAAAGCCAATGCATCAAAAGTCATTCTCACCCATCGATTGATTGATTTATTGATCTCTAGAATTTAACGTCCCAAAACCGCCATATGATTATGAGAGACGCCGTAGTGGAGGGCTCCGGAAATTTCGACCACGTGGGGTTCTTTAACGTGCACCCAAATCTGAGCACACGGGCCTACAACATTTCCGCCTCCATTGGAAATGCAGCCGCCGCAGCCGGGATTCGATCCCGCGACCTGCGGGTCAGCAGCTGAGTCATTCATACCCGTCAGCCGGAAAGTTCGTGATGCGGCAATGGATGACGTCAGCGCCAATGTTGAGAGGTCGAAAGAGCTTGCAGTAAGAGAACTAAGCAGGGACGACATTGCCATTATGTACGACGGTATGTGGCACAAACATGGCTGCAAAATGGCATGACCCTGGACTTAGTTTGGATTTCGCAGTCTTGTTGAACTTCTTCCTAGCTTGCAGTTGGCCCAAGGCTGCCAGAGGGAGTGGAAGTTTGGCAAGCATTTCATGGCCCTGTCTGTGAGCGAAATGTCTGTGAGGAGTCGACTCGAAAAAGGCGAGAGGGACAAACTCATAGTGCTAGCGTATTTTAGTCGCAGTGGCCACTACAAGAAAGATTGTTCTTTTTGGTGTGCAAATTTCATCTGATTTAATGATATCTATCATAAATAAAAACTCAATTTTAACTTTAAAACTCGTTTTTCTCAAAACACAAATTTCGCCATTTTTTCCAATGTGCCCCTCTTTTTTCGGGCACTTCTAGTGCTCGGATCTGCATGAAATTTTACCCAAGTTTTTTTCCAAAGTATGACAAATGCAATTATCTAGTTTAAATTTCACTATTTTATTGTATAATAAAAAATTGTATGTATACCTTTACTGGGGTAGGTGAAATATGGACTTTTTACGTCTATTATTTTTCACGCGTACTACATATTTTGTATGTGCTTCCTAGTTAGTTATTTGCACTCTACGCTTTATTTGAAACATTATGAACTATGAATGGTAAAAAAATTACAGAAGTTTAGGGATGAAAAGAGAGTGGGCAAAAGGGTTAAGGTTCTCACTTTGTCATGTCGCAGAGCTAAAAGTGTGTAACTTGCAAGAAAACTAATTATATATTTGAAATCAGCATAAAAAGTTTCATAAACAGCTCAAGTTTCATTGCTCTAGGGTGAATATTAAAAAAAAAGTGTCTTCGAGTAGCATCTTCTTTTAATAAAGATAACTGTACATGTGTATTTTTGAATGGAAATTTCGAATTCGCAAGCAGATTTCAAATATCTCATTCGTAAAGTAAGTAATTTCAAATTTTCTTTTCATAATTAGGTAATTTCTCATGGTTTTTATGGCGTCTTGCCATACAAAAAGTTAGTTTTCTAAACTACACGGTTCTTCTGAGGGGTCTATCCCACAGGCTAAAGCAAACTATATGTGAAAACAGCAGTTTCCTTGAACAGAAATACTTTCCAAACTTGCAAGAGAAAAATGAGCATCCATTGATTAGCTGGTATTTATCAAATAATTACAATGCCATCAAAGTTGAGAGAAATGGAAAAGCCTTAGCCTATAGTTCAAGTGCTGCTGAAAAAAATGAAAACAAGTTTGTTTAAATATGTTCACAGAAATTTTCTCAAACTTCCATTAGACAGATTCACGAAAAAAAAAGAAATAATAAAGCGAAGAAAATTATGTTCCAAGTTTTTAAAATACCTGTAACTAAATCTATTGAGCCTTTAACAAAAGGGATGGTATTTTGCCAATATTTTTTCAAAATATATGCTCGTGGCAATGCACACACTCCTTCTATATCTACCACCGGTACATTGCCTTACAGGGTGTGGTCACCCGTACACATGCACTTATGTCGTGATGAGCGAGTGGTTTGCATTGTGCTTTCTCTGTAAAGTTTGCATTAAAGTAACAAAGTACAAGTAAGTCGTTTGACTCCTTGCAGCGACCACATTTGTAAAAGGAGCATGTTTTTAAACATGAAGCATTGTGACAGTTGTTACTTTGCACTCATCCTGTGTATACCTGAACGTTTGTTTCATGTGTCCTTCTTTGTGTTTGAGCAGTGTGCTTTAAGCGTTGAGCTGTGACAGTTGTTAGTTTGTGCTTTGCCCATGTGTGTTTTTTTTTGTGTGCATCCTTTCTGCTTAAGCAGCACGCTGCAAGTTCCAATCTGTTTGTCATTCCCTATGTGACATTTCATTTTTTTCCAGTTGTATTCATTGTTTTACCCTTTCAGTGAAACTGACGTTTTACCAAAGCTTGGTTATATAGCTGCATAAAATTCCCACTGGGGCAGTTCATGAATGGGAAAGTGGGCAACAACTTGGAAGTATCAAGTGGTTGTAAATGATTCTAAGTGTGTTTCAGTTGTAGCTGCATAGCTATTTTCAGATAGATGCCAATCAGCCATTACATAAATTTCACTAAACTTTTGCAGAACTTCTTTGCTCAATACAGCTTGAGTTAACTTTTTGCTTTAGTAAATGTCAAACATTTTTGTGAATTCTTCTTTGCATCTTCCACCACCAGAGTTGGACCATGCATCAGGATTGATTACATATGACACAGTCTGCATATCTGAAGCTCTGCGATTAAGTAAGCATTCCAAAGTGAATGGCATGGCAGTGTGCCAAAGCAGCCAGTGCAAGGTGGCTCTCCTTCTGGGCGATGGTCGCATTGTGTTCCTCAAACTGGCTTCAAATAAGAAGGTGTGTGCATCTTTTTCTTTTGCGGTGTAATGTGGTGATGCTATTATGGTTATATAGGCAAACGCTTCTTAAAGTTTATAATGAGCCAATGTAGAAAGACTTGTCTATAAATGTGCTCTTTTTTTTTATTACAAAAGCCATGTCTTTCGAACATATTTTTTTATACAGTTGAGCCCCTTTATAAAAGACATGCATTGGCGATGCGAGGTGTCTCTTATAAGCAGAGTACCATGTAAGCATTTTTATTAACCCCATTCCAATGTGGGCACACTAGTGTCTCTTATACCCAATGGTCCGTTACATCAGTGTCTCTTATAAAGGGCTTCGACTGTACCTCACATTGCACAAGCCTATTCATTGCTGGCTGCTATGTTTCAAGCTCTTACATTTCTTTTTGTTATGAGCTTTTCGGCAAAGTATTTGCCTAAAAGATGGTCGGCTAGCAAACACACGAACAAAAAAAATATCCTTTCTGGCTAGGTATTTTTGCATGTCACTGATGGGCTCATATTATTGTACAAATAAAAATATTATTTCATTAATAATAATAATAATATTTATTTATTTATTTATATGTGAGAAACATCCATATATTACTCTGTAAAGTTTTTTTAAGTCACGTGCATTTTACTGCGAGAAAAAGTATACATATACCGTGAGTGATGCTGACGTCGGCGCCAAAACCCAACCGAGAGTGTCCATATAATTGCTATTGCAATAAAACGCAGCATCGAATGGCAACGCACAAGCGTTATGGGTGCACAACGTGCCATTGGGGCGATGGGTGCTGTTGCGCTTTGCATGGCTTTCGAGATGGCAAGTGTGCAGCGTGTTTCTACGCTACACGCGTGCGAACCAGTTTGTAGGCCACGCACTTTGTTTTTGTGCCTTTGTGCTTGTGTGGCACTATCAGCAAAGAGTTCTCTCCAGCATTCGACAGATAGCGCTTTGGTGTTAAAGGCGCGACTTTCAAATTTTGATTGATGTAGTTCGCGCTCGCGCTGCTCACAACTGTTTAGCATGGTTGCAAAACTATGTTATGACTTTTATTGCATTGTTATTTTGTGATATAATGGCTTGATTTAATGTTGTTTTGATCGTCAACTGCACTGGCTATCATACCGAAATAAAATGAACAGGTACATTACAAAAAAGTTTTCTTTTTCTTTTTTTTAACGCCAAGGTGGGGGTAGGTTCATTATGCGAGGGGGTTGATTACGCGAGCAAATACGGTATTTGTAAATGGGGTGTTCATCGCATCCGATAATCTAGTGCTTTGCAGGACTGTGTCATGAAAGACTCTGTCAAAAGCCTTATTAATTTCTAGCGCTAGTAGGATTGAGGACGTCTTTTTACCAAGCTCTTCACAAAGCATGGGGAAGACATATTGAGTGGAAATGCCTTTATGAAAACCCACCATAGAGTCTCGCAGGAGGTCTTGTGGCTCTATGTGGTATTCCAGGTGCGTGAGGAGGACTTTTTCAAAAAAGATTTCCTAGACACGATGTAAGAGATATTGGCCTTATATTGTTCAAGTCCCAGGGCCTGCCTGGTTTTGGAATGAGAACAATAGTTCTCTCCTTCCAGTGTTGCGGTATGCTTCCTTCTGGTGACCAGACTTGTTCGTTTAATAAGTCTGTGAGCTGTTGGAAGATTTGGTCGCTTAAATTTCGCAGCATTGCGTTAGTTATCCTGTCCAGTTCTACAGCTGTGTTTATATTCTAAAAGCTTGTGCAGCGGCATAAAGTTCCAAAGTACTGATGTCGGTGTACAAGGCAGGTTTTCTAGGACCTTGATATCGACCGACGGATTTTATCCCGACGTGCGCCACATTATTGGTACCAGTGTAGTCTCGTTTTAACGGCATAATCAACTCTTCCTGCAAACTATCGTACTTTTCCACAAGTTTGGTGGCATGATGTGCGATTGCTGTGCACGTTTCGATGTAGTGGGCAAGATTGTTCCAGTGCCCAAAAAAGGTCCTTCATCTCTTTGCAGCAGTTATCGCCCCATTTCCCTTACTAGCGTTTGCTCCAAACTAATGGAGCATGTTATTTACTCTAACATCGTCAAGTTCTTAGTCAGCAATAACTATTTTCATTCCAGTCGGCACGGCTTTCGCTCAGGATTTTCATGTGACACACAACTAGCTTTATTTTATCATGATATCAGTTCCAGCCTCGACATAAATATACCTGTTGACGCCCTCTTTTTAGACTTTGAATAAGCATTCGACAAAGTCCCGCATTAACGGCTACTACTAAAGCTTTCTCGTCTAAACATTAATACAAATGTATTTAATTGGATTCGCAGTTTCCTTACCAATCGCCAACAATTTGTGCATGCTAACTCCATCTCATCTAGCCGTTCCTCTGTTATCTCTGGTGTGCCGCAAGGTACAGTGCTCGGACCATTACTTTTTCTCATTTACATCAATGACCCTGCATCAAACATCTCTTCGAGCATTCGCCTCTTTGCAGACGACTGCGTCGTATACCGTCCCATAGCAAACAGCGCTGACACTACTACACTTCAAAATGACCTCAATCTAATTGTATCCTGGTGTGATAAGCGGTTAATGTCTTTAAACATAAAGAAAACTTCATTGGTATCTTTTCATCGCAGGCCCCATCACCAGTCAGCAGAATACACCATTTCCGGCACTGCAGTCTCACCCGCTGAATCATACAATATCTTGGTGTCACATTTTCAAGTAACATTTCCTGGTCAGCCCACGTGACTAACATAGCCAACTCCGCGAATCACACTCTGGATTTTCTACGTAGACACTTAAGACTTGCATCAGTTAAACTAATATCGTATGTCACACTTGTTCGTCCAAAATTAGAGTATGCATATTCTGTCTGGGATCCCCACCAATCTCACTTATCCAACATTCTCGAATCGATTCAAAACCGTGCTGTGCGTTTTATCTACTATGAATATACCTACCATTCCAGTGTTTCCAAACTTAAAACTCGTGCTCATCTTTCTAATCTAGAATTACGACGTCACATATCTCTACTATGCCTTTTTCACAAATTTTATCATGCCCCCATCGAAGTTCCAGCCATCCTGCCAGTCCATCGCTCATCAAGCCGCACGAACCATTCAAGCGCAGTGTATCCTCCACCAGCCCAAAGCACCGCACATCTTCACTCCTTTTTTGTGACAACCGCACGAGACTGGAATCGTCTGCCTACAACTACCGTGCATCACTCCGACCCACATCAATTCAAGATTGCCCTCGAATCACTTTTTTTATTCTGTAATTAATAGCCATCCCTCATGTAATACTTCAGCTGGGGCCTTTGAGGTATTCAAAATAAATAAATAAATAAATAAATAGTCTAACATTCTGCGTTATTCCATGTCTTTTCAGTCTCAAGGGTACCCCGCAGCGAGTTGCAAAAGCTATGCTAGTTATTTGTATATAAAGTACTCGCGTGTACGACTGTGGCATCTGTAACTTCCTGAATCCGTTTGCGCTCCGGAGCATCCTGTTTTGATTCTGCTATCCAACGTTTTATGATGCTGCGACGGGCATCCCACAAGTGCAGGAGGTGTGGGTTGATCGCAGGTGTTCACTGTGTCATCTGGACGGTCTTGGTGATTTTCTTTGAGATAGATTTTATTAGGTGCGCAGTTTCCTTGATACCTGTTGCCGATTTCGGAACTTATTTCAATTTGTAATTCTTGCTTTGCCCAGAGGTCTGCACATTTTGCTTGTAAAAATTCCAGTGCTGATTATATGATGAATCGCTTGCCAGGGTCTCTTCAAGTCTTTGCCAGGTGGTGTGCCGGTCAGCGTTAGTGAAGGTGAGATATGGTGTTATGTCGCATTCCACGCTGTTTCTTATTCTAGTGGGAGAGTTCAAGAGGTTTATGATTGTCAGGTTGTGTTGCTCTGTGGCATGGAGGAGCCATTTTCTTTTAGCAGTATTCTTTAGGTATCCCCGTTCTGTGTGAGCAACGTGTAAGTCACCTAGACGAAGAAAGGAGCAAATCTCTGTACGGTGCTGTGGCCGTTGGTGCGTACGTGGGCTATAAAAATATGTCGCTCTGTGCCTCGGTGGACTGTAGACAATTAAAAATGCATTTTGGTCTACCTCTTTTGACGGGCCATTTTAGGATGAGTTGTGCAAAATATTCATCCCGGGAATTTCGCTAGTACTAATCACAAGATCCTTTCATCCGTAACTTACCACGAAGCTATGGGTTTCGCTGGTGTAGCGCGTAGATCCTGAAAGGTTTTGACTGTTTTTTTCCACCTTCCTCCAGGCATAGGATGTGCACAGGAACCAGGGCCACCTGCATGAATTGTACGAGTGTTGCATGTTTGTTACAAAAGGTCTGACAGTTCCACTGCCATATAGTAAGACTCTCTTGATGTCCAGTTTTTGGTTAGACAGAATAGGTAGAGTTATTGGCATCTGCTGTGTCTGTCCTGAGGCCTACACTTGGTTCCCTTTCATCAGAGGAGTCAGGGTTCATGCTGGTCTTTGAAATCTTTGAAAACACTTGAATTTGAAAAGCTTGTTTTCAAGGCCTTGAAAGGGCTGGAATTCTCACGAATCCTTTAAAATTCTTAAATTTCCTTTCTGTTTTTTTTTATGAACAGTGTCGCACAATTCATAGTGCATTATTTAAGATGCTGTAAATGTAGCAGGTGGCACATGTAATGTGTCCACTTCAAAAGAAATGAGAACGTCAGTAGCTTCGGCACGCAACCAACACTGTCCATTTCTGGAAACTCAGAAAGGCATCTCACACTCAAAAAAGGCAGGAGCAAGAGGATGAGAAATAGAAAAAAAAATGTTGCGGTGAGGAGGAGATCGTAATGCTTACAAAAAAGAAAAGGCAACTGGAAGCCGCTGTTAAGGAACAGCTACAGCAGACTGATATGCAAAAAAGGGAGAGACTATGAGTGACCTCGCGTGCATCAAGTCCAGCAGCCTTAGGAAGACACAAAGACTAGGCTTGTGCGAATAATCGAGCAC